TATTTACGGTGGCAGAAACTCTTGAAGTTGACTGTACACGCCTCTCAGATTTCACCCTCTCGGTTTTATCACCCTAATAACATTTGGTGAAAGACACGAAGTCCTCCTTGCGCAGTTTTCCCCAGCCACTTGTTTGTTTTTTCTCTAGGTCTGCATATTCTCCTCCGTATTTCAGATTCTGCCTTTCCTCATGAGTTAAGGCCAAGTGTACCTTTTTATGTCGAAACAAATTGTAAAGTAGCAAATTTTACTGCTAATTCCGTCGTTTCTAATCGTAAGTTTAAAATACATTCTGTTCTTAATTTTACGTAGAAATAGTGTAATAAAATTTGCATATGTTAGGGGGTTCGATCCCCGACGGGGAGGTTTTTTCCTCTCGCCTCTGCGTCCAGACTGGCTCTGGGGACCACCCAGCCTCCTATACAATGGGTACCTTGGTCCTTTCCCGGGGGTAAAGCCGGCCGGGGCGTGATGCTAACCACTCACCCCCATCTAGTGCCGAGGTCAAGGAAGAGAGGAGCTATACCTCCACTCCCCCCAAGCGCCTACATGGCGTATAGTGGGACAAACTTTACTTTACTTAATAGTGTAACAAAATTTGCATATGTTAGGTGTGTGACCGACCGAATTCAGGCTAAAAGCTTCAAGGAACTATTTCATCACTCACATGGGCAGAAGGGCGAAACGTGTACCATTGTACCTCTGAGATAAGCTGGTTCGTTGACCTGTTGCACATTTTTCTTCATTAGGTCTACGGCGTTAGATATTTGCTAGTCACAAGTCAGAATTTTTATGTAATAATTGAAATGCAAGCCTGCTTAAAGTGGGCGTGAATCTAGTGTTTATATTAATTGCGTGTCAATACCAGAGAAAGATTTAAGATAAATGAGTGTACCGAAGATAAGACAATAATTTTGTCCCGGTTCAAGTGCACTGTGAAAGCCTCGTGTGTCATCCGTGGCTCACTACACAGCAGATTTACAAATGACTAAAGCATTGACATCCAGGAATTTCTTTTGGCATTTGTCATCTGTTTTATTCTGTTCATATGCAGATTGTAACATTCAAAGAATCCATTAAGACCGAATTTGGAGTGTCTGCTTTATGTTTCCCGTATAAAGCACGTGGTAGAGAGAGCGTATTGATGTACCCATATGCTGAAGATATTCTCTCTTTCACGGCGAATAAGTGTAGTGAATTCTTCTCGAGGCTACTAG